TTCTTCAGCACTGACATCTGCACCTGACAAATTTGGACTTTCTTCAAGTGTTTCCTTAAATAATGAACATGCAATGTCAATAAAGTAAACAAAATGAAACATTTCTAACAATCACATATTGGTAATTTATGGAAAAATACCTGATCTGAATGCATAATGGACTGCTTATTATTCACATACTGCCGCAGTGCTAAATCAGAATTTTCACACTGCAACTTGAAATTATATGATGTATCTATCTGACGCATACAGTGTTGACACACCTGTGCTGGGAGACCATCACCAGCACATACCTGAAAGAAAAATAAATCTGTTACACTCATCAAATTAAGTAACTATTCTGCTTAAAATAAATCTAGCACAACTCTTCAGCCCACAGTGTCCTATTCAGTAAATGCAAGCAAAACAAAACAACACATGGATCTGAGAAATTGAAAGTTACCTCCCTGTAATGCTTACATTTGAAAAACTCCTGAACGTGAAACAGAAATTATCGGGCTGACATACTGCTATTTAATTTATAGTCAAGAAAAGTGTATGAAATTGTAAGAGGCCAATGGGCCAACAATGTGAAAGACTGATGATGATGAAAAAAGTCTAATAATTCACCATTCTATCTTTAGCTGTTTCATCTAATATCATGATTGGTGTCTATGTATGAATTGTATTACTAGTTATCCCACTCTAACAATGATTTCAGTAGCCCAGATTATATGGTTCTGATTGATTAGTGAATAATGAACTGGAAAGAATGTGGATGGAAACAATCATGGTCTAATTTAAAGTACCATCCCAGCATTTACTTAGTGGGAATGAGGAAAACCACAAAATGCTTTATACAGAGAAGCCAGACTCTGAGCCTATATTTGAACATGGTACGTCCTGAATGTGAAGCACAGGTGCTAATCTTTCACCCGCATCTCAGTTACCATATACATAGGAACCAATTGCCCCTGACCAATACTTTGTCTGGTGACTGTTTCCGTGACACAGGAAGCGTGCAGAACAGATATCGTTCTGGTCAACATTCGGTGTTAACTGACGGTGCAGAACACAGTGGAGATTTCCAACACTTGATATAAAATGGTTTTAAATTTTCTGATTTGAATGTAATTTGTATTTTTTGCAAAGAGAATGTGTGTTAGAAATGGGTTGCATAATTTTTCAATCATCTTGTATTATTATAATCTGTAACGGCTGACTTACACCATTCACATCGTCCACCCTACACAAAAAATCTTTTTTGTCCAGACCAGGAAATGAAAATCACAAGAACACATCCAACTGAATCACGACTTCAGCTCACCGATTCTTAAAAAAAACTGAACTGGACGTACAGACTTATACAAAATATTCAAATAAGAAATTGATAGCAATCCGAGGGGGAGTGGAGTTGCTATACATACAGTGATGCAGGTGGGAACAAACATACTAGGCGCTTTTTAACACTGACACAGTCACTTCTTTCACCTTTAAGTTACAGGTCGTGGTTCTGGAAAATGCCCCGCTCTAAACAAAACATCGAGTAAATGAGAAATGATGATTGGAGATATTGGTCTAAATGTATTCTATACATGTATAATACTTCCAAAATTGTAATCCCACAGTTCTATTTGCATGGAAAAACAGACGGAAATTTCGTACTAATCACATGATTGTTAAAAGTACTATATATTTCAAACGTTTGGAAAGTACCAGACAAAGTAGATCATAAAGAAAAAGAAAACCACACCCACACATACACAAAGTATTGCCCTTTTCAACTCTTTGCAAAATATCGAAATCCGTATGACCCTCCCTCCCACATACCTCGGCGCTGTGGTTGCTAGCCCTGCATATGCAACCTATGGGCATTATTGTATTCATAATTAACGTTTCAGTATTATACACAGCTAACTGACCTTTATATTTGGTGCCAGCGTCATAATCCTCGCTGGAAGAGTTGCTGTATCTTGATCGAACAGAGGTAATAAAAAATCATGTTGTACCAAACAAAGGCGGCATATGTTGTTGAAATTAATAGCCATTCCTAAATAAGTAACTCAAAATAATATCAAATTGTATTATGTGGGAGATTCAAATCTTCCAAACTATGGCAAACACGGCTTACTAGATGGTTACACTGTTTCGCAGCTCATAAAAGAACAATGTGAATAGGCAGATGACATGCTGCTGTTGTAAAGTTTTTAGTATAATAAAATTAAAAATGGAATTATTTCAGTTTCCTGTATAATTCGGAAAAAGAACTCTTTTTGTCCGCAATTTTTCATGCAAGGAGTTGAAGATGTTTCATGTTCAGAAATGTTCATGTCAAGTAAAATATATCTTACAGTGGACCATGTCCAACACAATTTGTATTAAGTAAGATTTGAGGTTTTCACAGCGGTGAGTATGAAGATTTCCGTCTTCTGGGTTGTTACGCTGTGTAGTCTGGTCGATGTTAACCAACGTTTCAGAGGTCATACTGCCTCCGTCATCAGGGCGATGAATCCTATTGGCATTGTGTCTTTAATGAATTATTATAACAGTCTAAGCTACGACCTTGTCTTACCCCAATATACTCCAGGGTAGGACCACATTGATTTAAAAATTAGTATGTTATTATTGTAAGAAGTAAGAAGAAAATATTGCAATTCCAGAGTTTCAAAGTGTTTCAGTTCGGCCTAAATTAGGAAGAAAAGCTGTAGATAGCTTAGTGTTTTTACCGACTGAACACCGCTACCACTACCTGCCTCTGTTGTGTATTTCGAAGTAATGTACAGATGGCAGGACATCCGTGCATGGGTGGAACCATTGACGTTGGAGTTAACTAACTACATGCTGTAATCCGTGATTTTGAAACACAGTGTTTGTTCTTGTGGATAGAAGTTACACATTGATATCTGCGCTCTCTGTGTGACCAAAGAGTGAACTATTCTAGTTTCGGCGGGACTGTGCCACCAGTTGCTCGGTGTTCGGAAACGTGTAGTGTCGCTCACGTGAACTTCGGACTGAAATCCAGGCATCAACAGAAATCGGGCGCAAACAGAACATCATATAGAGTAAGTAACCCATTTTAGACTTGAACTCTTCCCAAACTGGCATTTATAATATGTAGTTAGGACAAAGGCAACGCTACATTATGTGGTTTTAATCACCTGCTTCTTTTTATTGTAGTTATCGGTGCCGGTATGTGAAAGAATTTGACATCCGTTTCACAGAAGCGCGTGCATTTGTAAATGACTGACGCATGCTGTCAATCTTATGACTCAGTTTCAAAACCTTACTTGATAAAATATTTATCTTGTTATTCATAACAGAAACAAGAACCGTATGTGAAACTCGTTGTATATTTTTAGTTGTGGAATGTAGCATGTATTACAGTAAATCCAAGATTTAGTAATTTATGCTTTTTGCTATTTCGGATTATTAACTTACTGTACAACATTTTTCAGTTACAGATTCTTGCGTAATCTTTAATATCAACAAGTTTCTGATGCAAGATCTATGTCGTGTCAAAAACACATGCTAATCTTGGACGCACAATTAAGTAACTGGGCTAAATCCATTTTATTATCGGAATATACTGGTTAGTTATCGAACAAGTTCATGCAAGTAATGCGAATTAATGCACTGAAACAAGGCACTGTATCTACCAACACTTCGAAACACTTAGCTTTCATACATGACAGTCTAGAAATGTATCTGTTTATATAACATATCAATTATTAATAAGTCTTAGTTCTTGAGATCCTCACCACAGTAAAGCTATTCCTAGAATTTATTGTTTGGTTGAGGAAATGATTTGTTCGTTATGAAGAACTGAAGTCTGTGAGTTACTTTGTTTAAATTTAACTGCTGCTTTACATGAAGATCAAGTCGAAGTTGAGTGAATTTCTCAGACGAAGATTATCGTAATAAGTACTGGTAGATGACAAAGTATAAAATGTATGACTTCAAACTGAAACATTTACGGAAATGCATTATTCTTACAAAATGCAAGGAAGGAAAGAAAATTGGTTATTACTTTCATCCAGTAATATAATTTGTGACGGTGTAGTTCAGATCCTGTGCGTTTGATTGGTTCTGTTAGTGTGACAAATGTACATCAAGAGCAATGAGAGGTGCTACCTAAGTTTGCAAATACAGAAATTGTGTTTACGTAGCCAAGGTCTAGCTTGCCTCTGCTTAATGGTGTGTGAAGCCATATAGTGGGCACCTGTTGGTCAGTTATTTATTTGTGCTTGTTGAATACCGTTTTGCTGGATCGCTGCTGTATCTTGGCGCGCCACTCACTGTTCTGAAAGCAGATTCCTGACGCAGGGGTCCGACTGGAAGATGGGAGATGTTTAAGATGAATATTATGTTTTTTTTTTATTTAGTATTCTGTCTGACGACAGGTCCATATGAACAGGATCCTTCCATCCTTTTCTTGGACTGGGACCTGTTCATATACGTTCTTGGCAGATGATCCAGAAGTGGTTTGCCATTGCCTTCTTCTGTGTGTGAATGGAGTAATTGTTGGGATGCCACGGAGGAAAACTCCGTGTTGCCTAGACCACGGCCTCGCCCAACACAAGTTATAAATTCGGGCACCGCCGGGAATCGAACACGAGACCCCAGGATTACAAGGCCAGAGTTCTTGGGATGCCACGGAGAAACCGGGGAAACCCCCGGAGGAAAACTCCGTGTTGCCTAGTTATAAATTCGGGCACTGCCGGGAATCGAACCCGAGACCCCAGGATTACAAGGCCAGCGTTCTAACCGCTAGACCAGTTCGTAATGAAAGTACAAATTCAATCATATTTCTTACTTGTATTCCATGTTAACTAATTTTCTGGTCTGTCATTCTTATCCCTTACTCACATTGTTCATAGACTGTCGAGAATACTGAATTTGTTTTACTCTCAGTTCTCTTGAGCTTTCCGACCAATTTTCTCCCAAATTGGCCGTGTACTGCAGCATGAAAAGTACGTGAAGGCCACGCTGTCGTACTAGAACACCGAATTAATTACATTTTCATATTGATGAGGCAATTAGCCCTGACAACACTAATATGTACTGAAGACATGAACGAGAAGACACGGAACTGGTCTTGTGGGTAGCTGCTCCAAGCCATGTTATAAGTTAACCGGGGACATATTTTATTGAAAGTTTCCGATCTGTAGGATTTATATATATATATATCTTGAATATAAACTTAAAATCTGTTTCTGTGTCTAAGAATCGCCCTGAAGATGCAAGAGATGGAAGCGGTGTAGCTCTGCTTATTCTTGACCTCAGGTTAGACGGAGTTGAGAGGTCACATTCCCGGGAACAAGGTCTCCCGGCGTGTACTAGATAGAGCAGGTGGAATCTACAGACAATGTGAATCTTGCCTTTCCCGAGATTCAAACCCGATCGTTTGAAGGATTGTCATGTGGCTGATGTACATGTAGATGGGCAGACACAAAGGAAGTACGTGTGTGTGTGTGTGTGTGTGTGTATATATATATATATATATATATATATATATATATAAAAAAATTGCACCTTGTGTGATTCTTAGAGAAATAGGCCTGTTCTGAATTTATGTATTGGACCAGCAGTGTACCACTCACCACTCATCTCTCAGGACTTCCAACTCCTGACATCTTTGTTGTATTTTTATTATACGCGAAATCGGACTGGGAGATCCTCACTAAAACTTAAGGAGCAAGTCTGTCTAGTGGTAATGCTTTTGGCTTTTATTTGGAGCGAGTACACCGTTCGAATCTCGGTGGAGCTGTTGGATATACTGACGCATTTGTGGGTTTTCTCAGTCTATTCGTACAGATACTGAAACACCACTCCAAAATAGGCTATTGCTATTTATTTAAAATCATTACCTATCCGGTTACCCTTATTTTATCTTTCATTCTCATCCGAAGCTATATATAACATTTGAAATTCAATCAGCTTTGTTAAAAGTGTAATAATGAAGCAACCCACTAAAATTAGAGTATAAAATGTAAGTTTAGGCGAAACAGACAAATTGCCAATGCCACATGTAAGCGTGCTGATACGTTAAAACAGCTAGAGACAAATATGTTCTAAAGAAAGCTTTGCGTACCGTTCCACCTGTTTGAAATGCCACAAAACTTTTTGATATCATGTGCTCAGTGTTTTTAAACACACTATATTGGTAATGCCCCTCCACATAAGTTTTATTGATGTTTCAGTTTCGTTTCAGTGTTACTGAACGCGATTAAAGAAAAATGACTCAGAACCATTATCATCACTTTGTCTCTCATTTTGAAAAAATCGACTGTTCCTCAAAATACTGGTACGAATATAGACGCTAGCATTTTATACGCTTAAATTTATAGATTATTACGCGTTCTTTGCACAATGTACACAAAATGAAAGCATAAAGGGCTGATCGTGTATCTTTGCCCGACTGTCTCTCAGAATATTATAATTATAGACACGTTGGACAGTTTTTAGTGATAGTAAAAGTGGAAAGTATGCAAACGGGATTTCAAAGAGCTGTAGTTTCTTTTGTGGTACAAAAACAAGTAGGTAACATTTCATAAATAAACTTTTGCCTTACTCTCTTACCTACAGTCTCTCCTTAACTTTTTTACCCACCAGACAGTTGTCAGTATCAGCTACTCTAAAAGATCATACGTAAATTTGTATTATGTACGTTAATAGCATTCTTCATAACTTTGTGTCTTTCTGTTTGTGTTTTTGTTAGTTCATTCTGAATCTTGTTTTAAGAAAATGAAGATTCTAGGAGGTGGAAGGAACTTTTTTTGAACTTCAGGAGCTGCACTGAAAGAAACGGGTGAAGAACTTCTGATATTATAAAGTCCGTAGGCGAATAAGGCATAACTTGGACCCAGTTAAAAGAGATTCACTTATGGAAGGGATGTATAGTATCTGTTCCTTTAAGCTTCCTTTAACCATGTCATACAGTTCTTCCACTCACAACTAAAGTAGAAGCTTTAAAATATGCTTCTTATAGACTCTAAGTTGGAATGAGATACCCTATGGGATCGGTAATTTAGCTCTCTAGCAAGGAAGTCCGACACCAGCAATATAACTTGGCTTAACCCAACCTAACCTAACCGAACCCAACCTAACCTAACCGAACCTAACCCAACCTAACCTAACCTAACCCAACCAAACCTAACCTAACTTAATCGAACCTAACCCAAC